AACAGATACGAACAATTTTTATTTTTGCTCATTACTTGAGTAATCAGAATAGCTTAATTTTATGATTAGTTTATCAGTTTCATGCTGCTTTTTGGGAAGAGAACGTCTCAGCACACAAAGAACTGATTGCTTGTCTGTCAACACCAGTTTCATCTTCAGAGTAGCAGATTTTATTTAATTCGACTTGTAACTCATTATGAATCGATGTAGTTTGACATGATGTACAATATTTTTAATGGGACTTAAATTGATTTCCTCCTTATTTTAAATATCAAGAATGCATATTAAATAGGTTTATAGGTTTCAGGCTGCACTTTTTAATTTTCGACTCCCTTTTCCTTTACAGTTAATTGTCCTTGCCTTATAATATCTGTACTATAGCTTTTGTAAATTGTAGCTTGTAAAAACGTTACATTTTCTGTGTTAACACAAATATTTGACTTAACTAAAGAGCCATTAATTTGGAATTTGTTTTTGCATCTCCTGTAGGTTTAATTTTCCCATTTCCAAATCCCGTTAATTGTAGATCTGTAGATCTGAAGTTCTTCTGAAATTAATGTTTCTTGACTGCCAGTATCTATTAAAGCATCGATTTGCAAATTACCTAAATTAACAGTTCGATGCATTTCATTTTGATATGTCTGAGTATTTGGAGTAACAGATTCAGCATCTTTGTTATTTTTATGAGATGTTTTAGAACAGTCTACTGTTTTTCTCGAAATATGTTACATTTAAAGCACTTAAATACTTTACTTTTATTGTTGCATACGTTTGATTTATGTCTGTTCTTTCTACGTGCTTTGAGTGTTTGTTCTTGAGTAACTCAGGCTTTTGTATAGGGATTGCGAATTTTCTCATAAATGTTTTAATTCAAAAATAGTTCTACAACTAAAATAATTTTGCTACTACTTGAATTAGGTGTTCCATTAATTACATAATCAAGAATGTATGAATCATTAATAGAAACAACTTGCTATTTCTCACATTGTGTTTTTAAATACTCAGAAAGGGATTCTTCGGGTTCTAAGATGCCCATTTTGTAACAAATTGAAAAGTTGTCCATCATCTATTTTAGAACCAAAGTCAGGAAAAAAATTCTTTTAAAATGTTCCATGAACACCTTTCAAAAACAAATACTTTAACATAACAAGTAAGCAGTTTTTCAATAAACACAATCTTTTGTAATTCAAATTACCAAAATAACCTGCAAGATTCTTCTATATTGCAAATGAATGATTTGATTAGGTATATATGTGTTCCATTAAATTCTGAAACAGTTCCTAAAATGTCTCAAAAAATGTAATGAAATATTACTGTGCATCATAATATGTTATACTATGGGAGTTGATGGCAACTTAGCAAATTCACATTATTTTCAGATGACTCATTATCAAGTTTGGATTGCATAAGTTTAAAATCATAAATGCTCTTCAATATTAAATCACAGTTTTTATCAACATCTTACCAAGAATTAAAATTAAAAAAATTACACTCAGAAATTAAATCATTTGCAAATATCTGAAAAGTAGTTTTTGTTTTGTTTTACTTACGTTAAAATCAGGTGGAAAAACCAGAAAGTTTACTTTATCTAGGTCAGTTTTTCCTATCACCTACAGTTCCAAACACAATTTGATACAAAAATGTAAAAGAATTTGTGAGAATAGCTCTTAATGATTCAGATATTGTGGGAATAGAATTAAGCAGATTTGTCTTGCATAATAATGCAGTTCACTATTCTTACAAATAACAGTGGGAAAACAAATGAATCAAAAGTAAACTTGACACACTTGAAGATCATATCAACGTTGTCATCATTAATTCCATATTCCTTCTGTCCATGGTTCATCTTAGTTGAGCCCCGAAAATGAATTCCTCTTCATTGATATATTCTCATTATAGAGTAAGGCTTAACTTTCGGTGGTTGTCCAGGGTAAAAACACTTGCATGATGATCCAATTTAAGTACAACTTAATGATGATTTTAAAGATTTTATATATGTTAATGAATTATTAACACAATTGTTCCAGGAAATTTATTACACAAAAGGAAATTTTAAAGTCCATCAGCTTCATATCGTAATACATCTTACTCGCGCATCTTTTCTTCATGGCGGCATCGTCTGTTCTATCTCAGCTTCTTTCAATGGCATGGAGTGCTATCTATCAATTCGTTGAAGAAGTCATCCTGTAATAATGAAATCTACCACATCATTTTAAATTTTTTCCATACTGTAAGTTTTTATTTATTTGTCTCGGAATTTAATTTTAAGAGTTAATTTTATTGGGGTACGCAATATTTTTTTTTTTTTTTTTTTTTTTTTTTTTTTTTTTTTTTTGAGGGGGGACTTTTAAAGTCTAATATCCAGAAATGTATCTGTTCTAAAGATTTGAAATTCTTAAAGGTTATAAAAGAAACACTTCTTCCTGTGCACAAAATGTGTTGATCTAAAGAATAATAATGTTTTTAAAATGATCTTGAATTTAGGAAGAGTATAGCACATACAACTATTTCTGGATGGCAATACAATATGTTGAACTGATTTTTTCAAAACTGTATGTAGTGTTTTTAATTTAAATGTTGAAACTTTTTTTTGGTATGTATCTTTATTGAACAAACTAAAAATCTCAGAATTTTACTGTTTTCACCATTGGGTAGAGCGAAAAAAAATCTAATGATCTTGTTGATATAGTCTGCCTTGACAATAGTGGTGCATCATGGGTTTTCACAAAGAGCATGCTGTTTATCACCACATGTTCAAAAATTCTAGGTGGTAACAAATTATGGATAGTATTCAGCTCTTTGTTTGCACATTAATTGTCCTTTTAGTCTCATTGACATATCAAGTAAAATTTATAAGAGATATTAACATAATTTCTGATTTTTTGGCAGACTTGCTAGATGTTTGTTTGACCATTTGACATGCACAATTGTTGGAAGTTAAAGAGTGATTATTCATTGATGGAAAATGCTTTTCTATTGAATAATTTAATTGATAGCGACATGAAGACTAAAAGATGATTGATATGCAAACAAATAGCGGAGTGCTATCCATCATTCATTACCACCTAGAATTTTTGAGCGTGTATGGTGATAAACAGCGAAAATCCATGGTGTACTTCAGTGTCAAGACAGACTTTATCCAGACATCGTCTTGCAATCAAGTAGCAGTGTTCAGATTAAGAGCCTTTTGCTTCAGATTCAGCACTAAAATCAAGAATGGTTCAACAGCACATTCAGAAAAGGGAATAATCTGCGATTTGAATGGCTTACTTGTGGCACATAAGTAAATTTTGACACTATTTCAGCAATGCTTTATGCTATAGGGCATGTTGACATATACTCATAATTTTGGCAGAAATGCTGGGCATGTGGAATATTGGGTGGCTGTCTTGTTATCTAGTATTCTATCAAATTGTTATACATCAAAAATTTGAATTTTATTAGAGTTTCACAGATAGTGACCTCTTTCTCTGCCATCTATCGAGCTTTGTTCAAATCTGCTTGTTTTAATCCACTATCATCCACACTGTAAATTAAAGGCCAGCAGATATCCAGTATGTGTATGTAGATTGCAGCATTTCAGAAATAGCAATTTTATCATTCATGATTTAACACAGCCCCCCCAAAAAAAAAATTTTTGAAAATTAAAGAAAACAGTTTGTGGTTTGCAAAATGGATATCAAGTTAATATGGCCCAGATGCGATACTTTGTAATTGATTATCGTATTCTAAACTTGTGATGTTTGTAGGTAAAGTATTTTTCATTACTCATGTCTCTTAAATATCATTAAAATTGTCAAGATCCCTTGCTTTCATATGCATAAGAGAAATTGTATTGTAAATATAAGTACTAACTGATGTTCATTTTGTTGCTAATGTCTTTCTGTACTTAATTTATCAGTTTAACTTGAATATTGTATATCTGTTACATTAATATTGCTGCAGCTCTCAGAATGTATTGAAAGAACGTTCAAAGCCCCTTCTGTCTGCATTTGTAATTATTCCATGCAGAATTATTTTGGGAGCCCCCTTTCTCCTTTTTGTCTGTAAATACGTTTATGCAATCTCCCACTATTTACTGTACTCAAATAAAATATTTTTATCTGCATCACACCAATTTTATTTTTTTAATATATTTAAGAACACTTTATATATTTGTTGCTAAAAGGTATCACCTTCAAAACCTTTGTCTCTCAATAAATTGCTCTTAGAATTTTAAAATGCAATTTTTTTAATAATCTTCTTTTAATCTTCATATGCGTAAATTTTTCATTTTAATGTCAAAATTGCTTTTGTAATATCCAAATCAAGGATTAAAAGCAAGTACTGTTTTCTAGACTGAATAATATGATTATACACTTTGCAATTTTTGTATATATACCTAAAACCATTTCTTGGAAATCTTAAGAAGTTTTTCATGCATATAATATTAATTTGATATATGTTAAGGAAATTAAAGTCCGTGTATTGGGTGTATTAATTGTTCTTATGCATAAGGGAGGAGACTATGTGCAATTCCATTTTATAGTTAATTTAAAATTATTGTTCTTTTAGTTTTTAGTTAATTGGAACTGTATTAATTTGACAGTAATGATTAGTTTAATAAGCTTTAATGTGTCCTCATTTTTTATTTTTTATTTTGAATCACTAACTTAATTAAAATTTTAGTTTATTATATTGCAGTTATTGAAATATAAAAATACATAAGTTCTGGTATTTTGTTTGGGGATAAAATTATTATGTAATAAATTGTTTGTTAAATGCTGATTTAAAAAAATGTCAAAATGATTTATTAATAGTTTTTTACCTTTGGTATAAGTGTTATTTGAGACCAGAAATAAAATTTATGATAAAAATGTTACTCATTTTTGCATCATTTCATTGATTCAATAACAAGTCTTTATGTGCACCAACTTACTATCCTGAAAATTTCAGATTCAGTGTGAATGTTAGTTTTCAATTTTTAATGAAAATGTTAGTTACTTGATTTTTTGCAACAGCTTAGGCAATGGTGTCACATTTCCCACTCGTATGCAAGCAGGCAGCTCCTATAATTCCATGGGCAACACTAATCAAACCAGGTTAGATATTTCCTCCTATTTTATTCCTGATTAAAAGTGCTTTCGTATCATATGGTTTTGACTGTATTCTCAGGGCTGGCCCTAGAAGAAGCTGATAGTCAATTGCATATTGTAGCATGCCCTTCTGTGTTTTAAAATACTTAAACCTTTGTGTTTATTTCTCACCATTTGTATGTAGATATTTTGAAGATCTGAGAACATTTTCAAAAAATTGCTTGCAGGAAAAAGTTTTCAGCTTATTTTTAAATCAAAGTTAGCTCATTGAAAGTATCCGGACACTTCCTCATTAGTAGTATTTTTTTAATAAGCAGTGCAAAGGGTCTGTTCCTTTTGCTGTAGACACTTGCTCTCATTCTTTAGGGAAAATTGTCGAGATGGTTATAGATGTCAAGCACTGTAACTTTAGTTCATTTTTGCAAGTAGGTTTCATTTCCTCCATAATGCTGTATGTGTATGAATAAGGCTTAGTGTATGATAATCAAGTTACCACTGCTTATCTTGTCATCTCTAGGCTGATAATATCATACATTGCTTTATGGTTGAAGGTGAGGTTATATTGGTCCAGAAAAAACAAAGCACCAAACTATGCTAATATTGAAATTTTGTATAAAAAGTTAACACATTCCAGTGTACATATTCTTGTTCAAGTAATAGCATATCCAACAGACAATTGGAAGATCTGTGGTTTGAATCCTGGTGAAGGCACACTTGATGCTTTGAAAAATTTACATGTCTGTACATAGGTAATTGTAAAGTATCTCTGTGTAATCCTGTATCTAGGATTCCTTGTCTCTGACCAAGAATTATATCTTTTACATGAAGAAAAATAAAATTTATATCCCATGTCATTCATTTTTTTCACCCATAATATGTTTTGGCAGATAGCATTTATTTGGCATTCTTCAAACCCAAACCTAGATATTGGGTTGGCACAGGAGAAATGTTCATTAGTTTGTTGAAAGCTTTTTTGTTAGAGTCTATTTATGCCTAGCTGTATGGGCTGTAAATGGTGTTTGGCTTGATTGTGTTTTTATTGTAATTCTAGAGAGTATCAAAAACCATTTCTTAAATCTGTTCGTCAACAAATGTAGTTCTGCTGTTGCTTCCAAAAGCATAAATTTGCGTTCAAATATAGTAATTTTACATTTTCCTTTATCATGTTGCATGACTTCATGATCATTATTCTGTTGTTCCTGTGCATTTTCATATTAGAGTAAGAAACCCTTAATGTTGAATTGGGTAGTTTTAACATGAAAAACAATTCTTGTATAACTTAAGATGGGCGTGAAATTTCAAAACTTTGAGCTCTGTCATTCAGCCTATCAACTGGTACTACTGTTTGTAACTATTATGACCATATGACTTTTGCCTTGAGGCATAAATCTCAAATGTGTCCACTATTTAAAAGGGGTGTCCGGATGCTAAATTAGTGTATATTCAAAATATTTGTATATAGTTTTGCCTGATGTAGTTTTTTTATCTTACAAATGTAATTTTAAGTGTGAGTATGCAATTGCAGTTTTAATATGATATGCAGGTGTAAGGTTGCTTATTGGTTGTGTAGTTATTTGTGTTGTTATAATGTAGAACAATTATCTGTGGTTTGTCTTAAATAAGTACTTTATAGAATGTTATATTTTTGTAGTTTTCTTTCAGTAAATATAGATTAATTTGATATTGTCATATACTCATTGAATATATGATGTGTCATGAAATATAACAGACATCCCTCATAAAATATTATTCCTATTTTAAGCAGTTTTTCTGTCTAGAAGCATGTTTTTTAAAAACATTTTGCTGACTTACTGTAAAGTTGATAGTTTTGTTAGTTATCAAACGTGCCAAAAGGTTTTACCTATTTTGAGATCTGTTGCATGACTGAGTATTTAGTAGATTCAGAAAGGTTTGTGTAGCTGTATATGTTAAAACACCTTCAAATATGTTTCAAAGTTAAATAGGCATCTCATTTGCTTTTCTAGTTTGGAATTTATTAATGTAGCTACGCTTATCAATAATTCCATGCCACACTTCTTAAACATACAATAAATAGTGTACTAAATGTGAATGTTTTTTTCAGTGCTTAAATTTTTTACACATAATTTCCACATTATTGTAAAAGTGGGAACACTGTATATTAGATAAGAGTCATCTGTGTCATATCACTCATTTGTAGAACTGTCATCTAGTTCTGTTAGAAAACTGATAATTAAATTCTATGTAGCATGTAACAAAATAATATAATGGAGCCTTGTGCTTATGTGTTTTGATATTATGTTGCAATTTTTAATATGTATATTGTATTTTAGACTTCTTCTTTTGAAGCACATTATTGTGAAATTTGCATCTATTTTTGAGCTGAACTAAAGAGATTAGATTTCCATATCTAGTTTTATCTATTTCATTTTATAACGTACGCTAAAGATGAATGCTTGACAATTGGGCTATATTTCCTGTCACAGACTGCACTTTTCTCACTTCCTAAATTTCTTGTGCGAAGCTAATAGATCTTTCTCTGGTATAAAATTGGATTTGTATTCATGTAGTGATGGGTTTTTAGAAAATATATTAAACTCACTTTTTTGCTAGTAATTGGCATGTATATGATAATTGATCAACACCTAGTGATTTCATTAAGCTACTGCTGCCCACCATAATATATTTTGTCCTTTTCTTTGTAATTTATTTTTTGAACTATGAGTTGATTAGCTTTGTCTACAGCAGCTTTAATATTTATTTTTCCCTTTTTCATTTTAATGTTTTGTGAAATTATTATGCCATTGATTTTCAGTAATCTGCGAATGCTTGTAATCCATGCGTATTTTAGGATGCGAGCACAAAGAAATTTTGATTTTTCAGGAATTTCAGCATCGTAAATTCATTTCAGTTTTTTCTTGCATATATGTAGGTACATTTTTTAACAAAAATACAGCAATTTTTGGTTAAAGCGCCGCCAGTTGGTATCAAGCATAAATTTTTGCATGAAATCTGATTAGAGGTTAGGATATTAAGCGTAACATTAAATGCAGAAAATTAAAAGAATGTTTTGTTAAATCCAAAGATAAATATAGAAGTTTTTTAATAAGAATGCATGTAAATATTCCAACTGACAACTGTATGATGGCTCATTCTTAACTGCATTTGATGGAATTCTACCAGAGTGAGTTATTGGAATCAGATATTAATAAATCAAATAGTTGTCAGAAAAGGCATGTATGAACCTTCAAACTAGCATCCACTTTATAAAGTTTCTATCTTGTGCCACAATCTGTCATCGCAACACCATTTTTTGCGATTTGAAACCAAGTCTTTGAATGTCTTGAGAGAATTTGACTATATCTCTTCACTATTTGAAAACTACTAAATCATATAATCCATATTTATTCTTAAAATCTAGACGAACAGTAAAATAAAGTTTTAAAAAAGTAAACTGAAAATCTCGGAAGGAAAGTTATTCGATTGATTATTGGATTCTTCCCGCATGAGCAGTGTGGAGCAGCATTGCATTGCTTCTCACAAATCAAAAGAAGCAGTTTAGCATTGTAGGGCACAGTTACAATTTATGCTTTTTTTTTTTTACTTAAATATGCATTTATTTAATTTACATAATGCATTTATTTCATGTTTTGGCTGCAGAAGCAAATTTATTTTATTATTGTGAAGTTTGTGAATAGCTGGAGATTTTCATTTTAGATTTAATCTTGAGTTTATATGATAAGCATTGTAAAGAATTTAATTGTCCATAACTTTTCGGATGAGTTCCAATTTAAATAACACCTCATAACTTGCTTACATTTCATGCTATAAATAAGCTTGGTTTTTATCAGTGATGAAGGAAGGTAGATTTTGAAAGGAAGTCATACTGATATTTTCTGGTGTCACAAATGGGAAAAGATTCCTAGCACTTTTTGTTAATGCCATTAGTATTCATCTCAACTGCAGAGGTATGGAATGTAATGATGGAATTAGCATAAGGATTTACTTCTGCAAAGGTTTTCCAAGAGGTACATTTATTTATTCTTTTTATGTAGATGGATTAAAAACTACTTTGAAAATAATTTTGTTAGTGAATGTTCCATCACAAATTTTTATTTTAAAACAAAATTATCCCGATATTATTCCCGCATAATTTGCTGCTAAAAATTAATCATTTGTAAACAAAAAAAGTAAGAAATTTAGAACCAAATTTGCAAAGTCACAGAAGAAATTAAATTCAATACTGGTGAAATCCAAAATTCTCAATAAATATGAAAAAGAAATCAACCAATTGTCACCAAACTAGAATTCCTAAAAACTACAGGTATATGAAATACAAAAATTGCAACATATAAAGGGAGAGGAATGCAATCGAAATCTGATTGAACATTATCAAATGGAGGTAAGATCAGATTCAACTGATTCCCTTCCCCCAGGAAAACCACTACATTTCTATTCATCCAAAATTAGCTGTTGAACTATTCCAAATTATTGAATTATGACGGTCACCAGAAAATTCTGAACATATCTTAGACACAGAGGAATTCCAAAAATGAAATAAAAATATACAAAAACAAATTGATAGAAATAAAGTCAAGGTCCATGTTCTATTTTTTTTCTTTGTGTCTTTTTGTATTTCTTACTTTTTATCTATTATATATGTATATGTGTGTGTGTGTAATAGATTCTGCAGTAGAACTCAGGTGGTTGAATCCGTAATGAACTGCGAGAATTTTGATGCCTTAGAGATGTTGAAACTCCAATCCACAATGAATAAGAAATTTGGCAGTTGAGGTAGATTTAATTCAACTTTTATTTCAGCAAATATGTTGCGGCCACAAACAAGTTGGCACATTGTTTATGCTGATTCCTGAAAGTTTACATTTTTCATAAATTTGTAGTAAGAAGAAGGAACAGACTGACTGCAGTCCAGCTAGGGCAAAGTGTAGAAAGCAAGTGTGTTATGTTCAGGGTGAAGTCTTAATTCAGACTGAGTTAGTTTTGGTTCTCCATGCATTTTGATTGGATAATTAATACTGCTGTAAAATTACTATTAACTGTTTTAGTTCCATTTGCATCATCAGCATTATGTAAGAGTCATATGACATGGATTAATCTTGAAATAGCGCAGTGCAGTGAGATTACTATTTTTAGAATAGAGAAGGGAAATTAATTTACGCTGCTAATTTAATCTTTCACATATTCTTTATATTTCTTATATATGCACACACATACATGGAGTATTTTCAAGCATTCTTACAAAAGTGTTATTTCTTCAAATTATGTCCCTCTTATTTACCTTTTTTATCTCCACCACATTTCTCCCTTGGTCTGGCATTACTTTTTTTTTTTTTTTTTTTTTTTTTCATAATTGTACATTAGAACAAAGCTTCTACACTGCAGAATTAAAGCAAAGCATGCTCTGCATATTATTTCTTTGTCTTGCATTTGCTATAGAAAGAAATATATTAATATATTTCCTTATTTCATAATGTGGTAAGATTAATAACTAAATTATTAATAGAAATTGTATTTGAATAATATGTATATCATATTTGTAGCAAAATTGTGTAAAGCTTTCAAAAATAAAATTAAAAAAAAAAAAAATAGCAAAGCACTTGTTATGCATCATCCTAGGAACAAGCAGGTATTAGTCTGCAATTTACACAGACTGTGAGGAAAGTGTTCCATAAATATGTGTACATAACATAATGTGAAAGCTATATATTTAAATATTTTAAATAAGTTTGCCTTCTGAATTTTTTTTTTACCGTGTGCAATATGGTACATGCTGCTATTATGTTATCAGTTTATTCCTTAAACCAAAATTGTCTGCAGAGAAAGAAAGCAGGAAAATTCTGGCAAAATTGACTAGTAACCTGTCAGATGTTCATGTAAAATAATTTTATATCCACAGTGGTTTGGTTAGTTATAATTTTGGGATTCCTTTCTTGCAGTTGGGTAAATTACAATTGAAATTTCATGATTCAAATCTAGCTTGTTTAGATAAATGTATTGTTTACTAATAGGTCTAATTTCAGCAAGCCTTGATGTTTTCAGTTTAGATTATGAAATAGTTAAGATGTACGGGAATAGATATGAAGGGCTTTTAAACAATGGCTGCATCTCTTTTATGTAAAAAGATATGTTGACAATTTATTATGCTGCTGCTGTATTAAAGATTTAATACTACGTACCTAAAATTTAATCCTTATTATATTTCGCTAATATTAATAAATTTTAAAGGCTTAATTATCATTTCATGTGAAAATGAAATTTCTGATTATGGTTTGGTACATTTTAAAAGTTTTGGAATTTAAAATAATCATAGGGCATCGATCTAAGTCATTCTGTTAGTGAATACTTTTAAGCAACTTTGTAAGTAGACACCAGTTTTTTTAATAACTAAAAATTTATATAAAAGAATTCTGGAAATTTAAGAGCTTAAAGGGTATTGTTTACAATCTGCTGTTCATATTTTAACCTTCAGCTGACTATAATTTAAAATGTTTTCATTAATTTTTGTTTGATGCTACACTTTAGCTGTTTTGTATTTGGAATAGCCACTCTCTGGGATATGGAAATTAATTTTGCAATAATTTAATTCTTAAATTTAAACACTTTTTTTTTAATTCATAATAATCTGATGGTAAAATAGTACATTTAACTTTATCATCTTGGTTCAGGTCAGATAATCTGCTGATGTCAACAAGTGTATCACCATCAGAAAACATCTGAAGAAACTCATTAGCAGTTGGATTTTAATTCTGTGTTTTAGTTCTAATTCAATATTTTATGTATGTAATAGGGAAGGGGTTAAAAAATTATTCTTTGCAATAAAATTTTTGCCACATCTGTAACCTTTTTTAACAAATTTTATAAACATAAAAGTTTTCTGGAAAATTGTTGTTAATAAAATCAATTTTTAATTGTGTAAACTCCTGCATTATCTATAATCGTAATTGTCTTTCATTTATTTTGCTTGAAATTTTAATATCATATCACTGTTTCTGTCATTCAACTTAATAATCATGAACAGCTTTTAAGTATCAATATAAGGCTGATATCCTTTCATAATTAATTGTTGAAATCAAGATTTGTCAGTTACTACATAATTTGATAGGGATAAAGTATAAGAAAATCGGTGATTTCTATATATGTTGTGACTGGAAAATGTAATCTATTTAGTGTTGTTAATATGCATGCATTAATATGCATACATGTCAGCATGCACATGTCTCTGTGTGTGTGTGTATATATGCATGTATGTGTGTATATATATATAGATATAACACACACACAAACACGTGTGCATGTTTACATACAGACACCTACTCACATACACACATGTATAAGTGTCTATAAAAGTCCTTACACTGCCTTTTTTTTTTTTTTTTTTTTTTTTTTTAATTGGTCTCTAGACATTTCTAGTTGCAGAAATGTTTTAAATAATGCAAATATTTGCCATGCCATTTTTTAATTTTAAAACCAGTTTTGTAAAAATTAGTAATCTTCTTTGTGTCCATATAATTATATTTTACTCTATATTTTTGACTTTCATAAGATAAATATTGACCTAGATATTTAGTTATAAAATTAAGGATTTTTTAAGATTATTCACTGCCAGGAAGTCATCAAGGCTTTCCTTGAGAGGTTTGTAAAAATTATAATTATTCCTGATTAATGGTTGTACTTAAATATAATTTCAGTGATTACTAGTATGTAGTTCAGTGATTATTAATAGGGGATTTACTAGTATGTTAACATTCTTTTGATGTATAATTTAATTGTGTGTGTTATGCCAGAAGCATTTTCACAGAAGTAATTTATAAGTTGGCAAATACTTAAAACATATTAAAATATCTACATGCAGTTTTATTTCTTTGGCAACATACAAAAAAGTTCATTCGAGTATAAAATGTTTTTCATTGTTAATTTATGCAAATGATGTTACAAAGTGGATAAACACCAGTGTTAAAGTTTGCTATTGTTTTCTAGACTACTAGTAAGACATCGATTCTCTAACAAATCAAATAAGTGAGCACATGTACTAGCTATGATGAATTGCATGGGAATGAGAAGGAGAGAATTAAAATATAAAGAATAAATCTAAAGTGGTATATACGTTTTGAGGCATGGCAGTAAAGGTAGACGAAAGTGGATTAGTTCTTTTATTGTTTTATTTTAAACATAAGTCAAAACTTTGCACAACACTGAGCAGTAAAGTTAACAAAATAAACCAACTCATAAAATTAATTAAAAACTTAATTGTGCATAATGTTTTGGGTTGAAATATTGATGTACCTATGTAACTAAATATAAATTTCAGATTAGAAAACTCTCTTTTGCTTTAACTAAAACAATAATAAATTGTGAAATAATCAATGTAAACAACTAACTTGCACTTTTTCCTACTGCATACAGTAGAAAGACCACACACAGATAGGAAAAAAAATTGTGTCCATTCTTTCATGTTGTGGGAGGAAAGGAGGGAAAAGGTGATTGCTTCCCTTTGACCTAAATCAGCTGAGTGTATCCACGCCACATGCAAATATTTTTTTTAATTTTTTATCTTCTCCTTTGTAAATGAAAGATCTTTTTGAAAACATTTGTGTTGATCAAAACTTTTCGCTGCAGTCCGCATAACACTGCTCATCACTTACTCCATTAATCCCTTCGAGCCGGGTAGCGAAAATGCGCACTTAGCGCGGAGGCCGGCAGTGTCTTCTGCGAGCATCTCTCCAGGGCCGGGGGCTTTTTTGCTACTAAGCCTAAATCCATGAAATTTCCGAAGTATCAACGCATTGTTTAATAATGCTCTATAGAGTATTTAAATGGCTTATGCTTTATAGATATTTATATATATATATATATACTTTAATTACCTTATTTCTTGTTTAAATGAATATTTTACACATTTTATTTTAATTACTCACCATTTTATGACTCTTAACATTATACATCTGAAAACTAAATATATTACTTAAAATTCTCTTTTCGTATGAAAAATTTGAAAACAGGGATCTACACACAGTCCTACGTTACATTCCTTGAACTCGTAATAACTCATTTGCCGTTTTGGAGGATTTTTCCGGGAATGTGAACAAACGAAGCATCGTCGTCTCATTTTCTTATCAGTCTCTTCTGAACAAAGTTTTGGAAAATGTCTTTCAGTTAATCTTTCAGAATTAATATCAGAGTATCAGAATTTCAGAATCAATATCTGAAATATTTTGCATCATTTCTGCTATTTCATGCTCTGTTAAACATTTTCGACGCTTCGACATTGAAACGGTAAGAATTCACGTCTAACAAGATCTAATTATTTTCTAAAAACTGAACTGTAAACCGAAATACTCAACACTTTAGCGCATATAAAACTTCTACTTACAATAAGCAACTACCACGTGCGAATAAAGTGTGATTTAAAGAGACGTCATAAATTACGCCATTTGGAAACATTTAGTTCCCCGTTTGTTTATATAATCAAAAACACGTGTATGTGAGTCATGCTTCTCTCATTTCGAGTAGAGGGTCTAATGTACATGTATCTGAAACCATATGGACATACAGTGCCATCTTGTGGCAGAAATTATAGTTTGAAAAATGTTCCAGGGTACTGGCACAAATACGTGACAGTCGGTAGTAAACGCAAAAATGCTCTGGCACGCCTGCGTGTCAGCCGGTAGGTAAGTGTGTTCGTTGCTGGCACGTATACGTGACAGTCGGCACGGAGGGGTTAACACTAAATTTTTTTTTAACTGATGTTACATTTTTAGTTGTATACAAATGGCACACATTTCATTCTTCAGCTTACATAGGACCTCTAAGTATGATCTCATATTTTAAATATCAGGATTGATTTTTGTTGTATTGCAGTAAGTTATATAAATTTAAATTTTTCATGCTTCAATTTGTGTATGATTCTTGAATTTTCAGGAAATGTGATCTCTCACTTTAACTACATTGGTCAGCTTTTGTTAGACAGTAGTTTGAACATTTTTATTAAAGTCAGTATAAATATGAATATATAAAGTCATAAACTTCATAAAAAGTTATGTTTCTTTAACTGTTTACGAAGTAAATTTTTAAAATTTGAAAGAAAATGTAAGATAAATACTCTTTTAAAAAAAAATCTGGTTATGTCTGTGACCAGATGTTGCTAAAATAAAGGTCGCGTAAGGACGTTTTTGGACACTGTAAATTTGGTTTTTCTGCTGTGATAAGAATATAAATGAATATATTTGTGTTGTATTTACTAATTAAACTACCTAAAATAGAAAAAATAAAATAAGATTTTAAGTTCCTGTATTTTTATTTATAATTATTTCACATTTACTCGAATCCACTTTCCATTTTGCAAGATGCAGAAACCTTCTGAAATCATAATTTATTAATCTTGTATCTAAGATAATATTTTATGAGGACTTTATTTTGGTTGTGTGTGCATGTCCATGTGTATGTCTGTGTATGGTTATTCTATATTTCTGTGCATTCTTAAAGTACTTAAGTTAAATTTGTTAATGTATTTCAACTAGTCCCTTTTGCAGTATAGAAAATACTCCTTCTAATACAGGATACATTTTGAACTTTGTATTTTAAAATCTACAAATTATATATATGTAATCAGAAACATACTATTTTCAGCTGTAAAAGTGAAAAAAAGTCTCAGAAAGTGTGTCTTGTAGACTTATTTGTCTCGCCCCCTCCCTTTTATAGATTGAATAATTCTATATATTATTTTAGTATAATTGTGATAGCTAAGGAATAAGTCTATGTAAAAATAGACTTTGCCACCTTTTTTTATATACTTCTGTTTTAGGAATCCATAACTACATTTTTCTAATGATTTAAAAAAATTTTGGAGTAATTATATAGTTTTTAATTCTTTAATTGGCTTTTGTCTTGCAAGTAATATTTATTAATTTTGATTTCCTATGTGAATTATTCTTGACAGTATATAATCATTGTTTTGTAAATATGTATTTTGCTCTAAACTGTTATTGCATACAAAATGTGTCATTATATATTTTTAAGTTCTTATTGAGGGATTTGGAAATGCCGATGCTGTTTTCTCTGTTATTTTATCTGAAAGTGTGCAGAGGTATAAAATATAAGTGATATTATTTGCTTCTGCAAGGCTTTTATTGAATATATTTTATAAAGGCATGATGGAGTTAGTTTATTAGTAATGAAATGTTTTTACATTGAATTGTGCACTGCCAATGCATATATGCAGCCTTTGTATTTTCTCATGAATTTTTAGTTGAAGGGCTTAATAATGAAAGTAGCTTGTTTATAAGTATTTCCTATGTGATTGATCATATCCGTGTCAAATATTACTTTTGTATTTAATACTAAGTCTGTTTCCTTATTTTCAAGTTAGTTTTATGAAAAATTGCTATTTTCTGTTTGAATCCTTTTTCATATGCTTTAGCTGTGATGTGACCTAATTGATGTAAGAAATTTTAAGAATCATTAATGCAATGGCAATAAGAAGGGAATTCCATAGAACTTTGTCATAATGAAAAAATATCAGTGTTTTCTTGCTTAATTAGCAGAATGCAAAATAAATTGTTTTGAGTGAGTTCTGTTTATGATTCAAGCACTGCTAGAAATCTCTGCCTACAGATAAATGAGCCTTGGTTTGCATGTGTGTGTTGAGTTTATTGTGCTGTGTTATTTTAATATGTAAATAAAGGCATTTTTATTCTCTAAATTATATTTCTAAAAGCTGTTACAAGCATTCTTCATGTATTTTTAGAATGTAAGAATTCGATGGTGTACAGCATTTTGTGTAAATATAAATTAAATTTACTAATATATAAAACAAAGATTTTATGATGTTAAATGTACAGTAGTGTTTGCCATAATACCTAAATAAGTATTTGGTATAAAATGTGAAGTACTCCGAAAAGAGAATGTATTTCAGTATGAAAAAAGAATTGTATGTCAATAAAAATGTAACATTCATTTTTACGTTTTCCTTCAAAATATTCCTAAGATTAAAATAAAAATGATTTTAAAACTCAGAAAATTGTAAATATCTGTGTATTTATTTTTTCATCAATAGTCGGCAGTTTTTACTTCGAAAAGTTTTCAGAAAAAGTATAATGCTGTGTTCAGGCTGCTGTTGCTAATCATTAAATATGATTAACAACAGCAGCTGTAAGAAAATCATTAAATATATTTTTGATGAGTATTAACTGAAAACAAATGTGATTTTTAAATAATTGTGTGGAAAACCTTAAGTAGAAAAAGTGTATATTATGCCGCTGAAAGCTGTAAAATTTTATTCTGATTACCTTGCTATGAAAGTCACAGAACAAAATTACAGTAATTTGTTATCTAATTATTTAGCAAATTAGAATATCCGAAGAACATACATACAAGTGTGTCCACTGAGAAAAAGCAGGGAAAATGAGCTGAAGCTTACTTTTTTTTATCTTATTTTAATATTGGCAAATAAATTTTTATGCAATATAATAGTATAAAATTGAATAACAGTGAACATCATTTTTAAATGTTTGATGTATGAATATCACCTAATTTTAAGTGTGACATTATTTGTTTGGCATAGGTTTTTTTATATATATATTTTTGTGAAGGGGTTTTAAAATTTTCAATATTCAGTTATTTTTTTTTTTTTTTTTAAATCTTTCTACGTTAATTGCTGTCCTCTAAGGTAGAATATCCGCTCCATGTGTATATTTCTTTAGTTTTCCCACTTACTGTATTTTGAAAATTTTGTTTAATAATCTCGTTTCTTCCTGAAACTTCAAATGAAGTCTAAACTTTATTGGGGCAATCCTCCTAGTTTTCTGGTACAGTTTCACTGCTTTTGGAATTTCTCATGCATACTTGATCTTTAAACCCAGTTTTCTTATGAGGCTTGAAACATTCATTTTGAAATTAAACGTACTGTAATTTCCCAAATGAATGCCGCATAAAAATATAAGTGGCGGAATAGTTTAATTATACAATTAGCTGTTATAAATTAACAGCTAATTGTATAATTAAACTATAACTATTAAAAGGTTATAAATTAACCTTTTAATAGTGCAGCAAAATGTAAAAATAACGTACTTCAATACTGAGGTGGGCATGTGGTCTTGCATTTTATTATTCATGGCAGATAATAAATCATCTAGAAGAGCATACACGGCTATTCGGATTGCAATATCTTTTGCAGCTGTCATTGTACTAAGTTATTTTTTCTTTTCTCTTCCCTGCTTTCCCCCCCCCCAATTAGTATATTTAGACAGCACTAACAACATATTGCAGAAAAATTTCTATACTCATATTTTATAAAATAGATAATGTATTGCAGAAAAATAATCATGGTCTTTTGATCTGCTTATCTTTTTTAGAGAACATTTATAGGCTCATATTCATATTACATATGAGGGGAAGGTAGAAAAATTCAGTGTATCCTGCCTGCTTAGCTGCCCTGAATCAGAGTAGGACAGGCTGTAATGTTATCCATTTGCCTTAGGTAGCCCAGAGATAAAAATAAGCTGATGGGGTATTTTAGTGATTGAAAAATTATTATTTGAGCTATGTTTTTAAATTCTTTAGCTTTACTGAAAGCATAGTCAAAAGGTTGTACAAAAGATGATTTTAAGAGCAATTTCGTAAACAAGAATATTAAAAATTTGACATTTATTTGGATGTTTTATGGTGTATAAAATGGAGCTAAATAAATTATAACTTTCTTGATTCATAAGAGGAATTTAATGGGAATTCCTTAAATAAGTTCTAATGCAGTCATTTTAGCTGTTGGTCCACAGAAATATTT